ATAGTGATAGAATTCCTTAGAACATAATTTCAGAGTTGAAAGGAAATTTAGTTTCAACTTTCCACAGGTAAAAATAGTCTCTCCCTCCAGCACTTCTGTTTAAACCTATTCTTAATATTTCTCACTCTCCCTCTTATAAGTTACTTGTATCCCTATCACCATGCATCTGTTTTTATATTCCGATATATGTGCATGTCACCCCCAATAGAATGTGACCTCCTCAGGCAGCAAGGTGGCATAGTGGATAAAGTGCTGATCCAAGAGTCAGGAGGACCTGAGTGCAAATGTGGCCTGAAACACTAGCTGTGTGACTCTTCCCTCCCCCCCTTCTCAAATCCCTGAACCTCTGTTTGGCTCAGTTTCCTCATCTGTTAAATGAAGATAATAATCAAAGGAGATTATATGTGTAAAGTGCTTGGCACATAGTAAGCACTGTGGAAATGTTAGCTATTATTATTGTGATCAGAACTGATTCAGGTCTGTCTTTGTATTTCCCAATGTTCAACACATGTATTTCCCAATGTTCAACACAGTGTCTAGCACATAGTAATCACTTAGTAAAACACTTGTTAATTGATCTCCTCCCCTTATTACCCCCTTTCCTTCCCTGAAATTAGATTGTATCCGCATCATCTAGCACGATACCCTGGCAGTTAGATAATAAATCTTTGTGAGATTGAACTGAAATATTAGTGAACCTCAAGTCAGCTTGGATTTACCAAACATCATTATGAGGAAAAAAATGTAATAATAGTTCATTTATGTAATAACATAATGCTTTATAGTTTATTTTCTTCATTATATGCATGACTTCATTTTAGCTTTATAAAAATTCTGTGAAGTAGCTAGTACCAGTATTACTACCTCTCATTTTACAGATGAGAAGACCTAGGCTCAGAAAGAGTAAATGATAAATGACTTGCTTAAGATCATCCAGTAAATGACAGAGCTGAGTCACAGACCAAGGTCTTCTGACACCAAGGCCAATTATTTTGCTACAATATTACCTTATGGCTCAAGTAAAGGCAAATCCCTACCTAGGAAAAGCTTGAGTCAGGGAGAAAAGACATAGATATGAATAAATGTTTTTTAATTAGAAAATTATATAGGATGGTGTTTAATTAAGTGGTAATTTATGTGTCTTGCCATTCTTTCCCACCATTTATACCACCTGTTAATTTATCATAGAATAATGTGATCTCAGACTTAGAAAAAAAACATCCAGTCAAAGTCTAGTCACTTAATCATCTTACAGATGAGGAAACGGAAGCTCAGAAATTGATTAAACTTTTTAAAAGACTCTACAGTACCTCTTCTAAAGCCTAGTTCTGATGCTTCATCATGATATGGGGATGACCCTGGGCTCATCAGAGTATAAGCTCTGTCAGGTTCTGTCAGGTTGTAAAGGCTTTGAGAACAGGCCCAGGGGCTGGTACAAATGAATGAAAAAGCATTTATCAAATGGCTACTCTGTGCCAGGTACTGGGGATAAGGAAAGGAAGGGATGGGGGAGGGGATAAGCATATATATAGCAACCTCTATATGTGTGCAAAAGTGAGATGATCTTTGCCCTCAAGGAACTTATATTCTAATGAAGGGGAAACAACACATATAGGGAAGTGGTGGCCAAGGAAAGTCTGAGGTGTCAGAGGAGTTGTGAGTGGAACCAAAGGGCAGTGGGTTGTCATTTCCTTTTCCAGTAGCTGTGGTTTTATTGATTTGACTCTTTCTGTTGTCCAAAGCATTGGGCTTAGCTAAGTTTGGAAAGGCTCATCAATAGGTTGAGTGCAGGGTCATAAATTTTTCAACCGTTGAAACTTTTGAAATCTGTCTGTGAAATTAGTAATCATTTATTAAGCACATACTATGTGCCAGGCACTGTACTAAGCACTGAGGAATACAAAGAAAGTTAAAAGACAGTCTCTGTTCTCAAGGAGCTCACAGTCTAATCTTTGAATATTTGTGTTATTCTTCAGGTGAATGAGAATCGACATTAACAAAATCATGGATTCTTAAATTATTGAAATATATGCAATATGCTTTGACAAGGTTGAATAATTTGTCTCACATCACACAAGTATTTAATGCTTGATGTTGGGCTAGCGACCAAATTTCCTTACTCCTTGCTTAGCATTATTTCTATGACAATATTGATGCCACACCCACTCTTGTTCTGTCCTGTTTCTCAGTTCCTCCCCTATTCCTAAGTCTGCTAATGACACCCACAAATGTTTACACAGGTAGCACTGAAGATTCCTTTAACAGCTGACCAGTTTAATTATTACTGGTAGGGAAGAACAAAGACAACTGATCAGGTATTTCTTTGACATCCCATTGTTGCTGCAAATCTTTGGGTATTCAGGACCTCAATGCCAAAACTGTTCAAGAAGTATAAGTTCATCACAAGTATCACTATTCCAAATACTAAGAATAGCTCACATTTACGTAGCACTTAATAAGCACTTAGCACTTTACAGTTATTTCATTTGATCCTCCCAATAATCCCAGGAGGATAGATGCTATTATTATCTTTTTTTGACAGAAGAGGAAACTGAGGCAAACAGAGGTTAAGTGACTTGCCCAGGGTCATACAGCTAGTAAGTGTCTGAGATTGGATTTGAACTCAGATCTTCCTGACTCCAGGTCCAGCCCTCTGTGGTGCTTGAGATGAAGTTTTGAAGGACATAGGAATTCCTGTGGGTGGAAGGAAGAAGGGAGTGCTTTCCAGGTATAGGAGACAGCGTTGGGTGTGTGGAACAAAAAGAAGGCTGGAATGTCTGATCACCGAGTGAAGGAAGGGGAGTGTAACCTTTAACAAGGTTGGAAAGGTCAGTAGATTGGGGCCAGGTTGTAAAAGGCATTTAAAGCCAACTAGTTGAGTGGCTCTGGGTTCCCAGAGTCTATGCCAGTCAGAACACAAGCTGGAAAAAGCCTTGCCAAGCCCAAAAGGTTTTGAAAACAGATCTGGTGGTGCGTTATGTGTGTGTTTTCTAAGGACCCGCCTAAGTAAGTTTTGAAGAGTTTCATTACCAAATGGGTACAGGTTGATGAAATTTTCAGCCATAGCAGCTATCTGCCTCACTGCTTTGGGTGGTGAAGTGACTGAGGGAGAGAAACTTTGAGCTTGACTTTCTTATAATATAAAATGAAATATAGTATAAAATATATATAATATAATAATATAAAATATAATATAACATAACATGAAAATATAAACATTTTCATGATTTTCCTTTTCATGGCATCCCCTATATAATGAGGCAGGGGATATTTTTGATCAGTTCACATTAGTGAATTTGTGAAATAACTTTTGAGTAACTTATTGTGGTTAATACACGATCTATGAAAAGCAGAATTTGTATCTGATAGCCCTTGCCATTGCGTACTCTCTAATTTTTAAGAGTCTGCTATATTGGGAAGCGGGGCGGAGGCACTTGGGATAAAGGCGTAATGGCATGGTGGAAAAGGAAAAGAGAAATAGCTACTGGAGGGGGAAGCGTGAATTTTAATTCTAAGAGGACGCTACATAGTGTAGACATACGTATACAGTATGTATTTGTTGCCTTTTTTCTCTTATAGTTGGGAATGTTATCCTTAGAAAAATCTTGTTGTGTACTGCTACTTTTGTAATCAGAGCCCTGTGGGCTCCCAGTTATTAATTATTACTTCTAGTCTACTGATCATGGAATGTGCATCTCATTTAGAGTTATACCTGTTTGTGAGTTGTATAAATGTTCAGCATACCTAGTCGCTGGAATTACTATTTAATATTCAAATGGATCTGTGATTTCAGAGATTTGGTAGTTCCTTGCAGCACTTCAGATCACAACCCATCCATGCCTTCCCGCCCTTCACAACTCTTGCTCTTCTCCCCCCATAAGTTCAACGCAAGGGTCTACCCAGGGAGCTTTGCTTATTATTTCCTGACACAAGGGTTAACAGTAGAGCACTTTTGACTGTCCACTTGTCATCCCTATTCCATATGACCAATTCATCTTCTCTTTCTGTCATACTGTTTCTTGGTCAGACCTTTATGCCTGTTCTTCAGAGTTCCTTATGGGTTCTGTGTTGCAGACTTCACACCCTGAGCCTCTCCATCGCTTTCTGCGTGAAAGCTATTTTTAACTTTTTGAAGACTTCTACTTCATGTGTCTCTGTTATACAGAAACACTAGCAGAAAGATAGTGTTAAAAAGATGGGTCTTTGCTTTCAGAGCTTGAGGTCATTAAAGTAGCTTTGCAGTTTCTTGAAGGTGATCCAGCTTACTTTCCTCTTGTTAAGCTCTAGACCCAGCTTGTCCATCTGAACTGTGCCCAAGATAAATACACTTAGAGGTTATCCATCCAAATGCATGCTTTAATCTGAATGCAACGTTCTTCATATACTATGTGTCTGGATGGTCAGACCAAACTGCTTTGAATGTAAAATACAATGTTACTGTATTTAATGCAATACAAAACCTGTGGAAGGATAGACTTGACTTGTAAATGTTTCTGATAGCTCTTACCACTACAAAGTATTTCTCTGATTCTTAGAATTTATGCTATATTTGGGGTGTAGGGGTAGGAGGAGAGAAATGTTGGGGGTGGGTATCTAGGATAGATAATTGGCTACTGTAGGGAGAAGCAAGAATTTTAATTCTGAGAAGAACCTGAATCTTTTCCAGGAAGCTCTGCAGTATTGGGGACTTGATGCAATTAACACAGTATCAACATACAAGCATCTGAAGGACCTCACAATCCACAAGGAGGCCCTCTTCAACTTGGGACTTTATGTTGGATCTCCTCCATCACAGTGGGGAACTCCTCTGGCAAGCATACATCTCCCTGTTTATGCCTTACCTGATATTTAGATCAGAGGGTCATTGAACAGGATTGTTTTTGTTATATATTTCAAGAAATCTTGAATGCTTTTGATGTAGTGATAGTAGACACTTTGTTGTAAAAGAGCCTATAAGGCAACATTTTGTTCTACTAAATGCAATGCTTTTTCAAAATCAACAAATGGTAAGCTCAGAGGGATCTTAAGTACTCTATATCTTTCAGTTAATTATGAAATGGTAAAGATGTGGTACATTGTTGAATATCACTTGCAAAAGTCTCCTAGCTTCTTTCTGATACTCTCATCAAGAAGTCCTTCAATTCATGTGTTGCTGACTCAAAGTCATTTTGTACAGGTGAGAAAGGAAGCATATAGGTTAGTAATCATTGATAATTTTCTTGGGCCTAAGATTTTTTCGCATGACTTGTATATTGTCTTTTAGTTATCTTGTATATTGTCTTTCCTCATTGTGATTATCTCTCCTACAGTAGAGATCTCCTATATGAACTTAGTCTAAACCAGTTGCTTTCCCTATCTTTGTTCTCTTTAGTATCTTTTCACTTTTTTTCTGCCAGTACGGTCTGGGCTGTGCTGTTAAGGTCCAAGAGTGGTGATTCCATTGTCCTTAATGGAAAAAAATTTAAGACTGTTGCAAGTGTTTTTACATTTTTTTTTCCTGCTTGTTGTCTTTCCATTTCCATTTTTAAATGTCTGTGGAATGACTTTGCTTAGTTGGGTATCTTGCCAAACTTCTTTTAATCTGGTTTTACCCTCCTCTCTGCTTTCTGAACCTATACTATTCATAATCGTCCATTTTACTTCTTTGTGTGATTTTACAAACAAATTTATATTCTAATCTGTTGTTACCTTTCATAGTTGCTTGTCTATTTTTGGCAGGTAAGTCTTAGCTGGTAAGTCTTATGGTTGATGATTAAGGTGCATTCTGGGCTTTATTGGTCTTCTTATAGCATTTGGTTTACATTGGTTAAACTTCTGGATAAGACTATAATTGGTGTCAATGTCATTTTGGTTGGCCATTTCCCATTTTTTATTGTCTAGTTGCTTATTTAAATATCAAGATTAAGTTATTTCAGTTATATCTTTTTTTCTCATTCTTTCTTTAAAAAAAAAACAAACCCAAAAACCTAATTCTGTTATTAGCTCTGATGAGTCAATGGTGTTAGCTACTTCAAGGATAACTCCCATATGAGTACATCAATAACAATTCTTTTCCACTCAAGATTTAATATGTTTGGTTTTTATAGTATTTTTTAGATTTTATTTTTTTATAGTTTTTTTTGTAGTTTTATAGTATTTATAATTTTATAGCATTTATATATTTATATATATATATAATTTTATAGTATTATTTAGACACTTAACATGGCCATTATTTGTGAAAACATTTTTCAAAGAAAGTATTCATTATATAAAGGCATAAGGGTTCTTTGGCTTTCTCATTCTGTCTTCCTGAATAATGCATTCACATTTCTTACTTCTTCCCATTGTTGCATTGAAGTCATCATCACCAAGTATTAACATATGCTGATTTAATTTGGAAGGCATTAAGAAATTCATTATAGAATTTCTTTACATTTTCATCTTTAGCAACTGATGTTGATACAAAAGCTTCAATTAATTTCATGGTAGTCTTTTTTAAAATAGTTATCTATTAGTACTGCAATACATGTTGACCAACTGTCTCAGGAAATAATGTTTTTCATTGCCTTTGAGTATACCTAGTTCTACTCACCCCGTTCTTTGCCTCTCCAAGGAATAACTCTGAGTCATCCTTCCATTTAGCTTTAATGTTCTGCTTTTGTTTATAGCAAGAATGTCAATACATATAATTCAGCACCTCAGCAACACATCCAGTTCAGATCATTGCACAAGAATCTCACAATTAGAGTACTAATAAGTTAAAATTTGTTGACAGTCTGAACATTGTGTGATTCTTATCCTCTACCCTTTTTCCTGCTGTCACCCCTAGAAGTAGAATTGAAACTGCTTTTTATTTTTCTTTATTTTGTAGGTTACCATGGCCAAAAATTTCTTCATTAGGTGACCAGCCTACTGGTGATATGCCTTGCTATACTTAGCTATGTTGGTCCTCCAAAAATAGCCTTTGTCTATTGTCTGGACTATTTACGAAGCCTTTTACAAGGTTATAGAATTTGCCACACCGTATGTCCTACTGACATAACCTTTGAAAACCCTGGTTACCTTCACACTTCAGTGAGGCATTGGAGTAGGACTTTGTGCAGAAATATTATAATATGAAATGAAAAGCAAGTCCCATAATTATTGTGATTTTAATACTTTACATTGCTAATTACTTTTCACTTTTATGTCTTTTTTTAACCTTAAGTTGAAACTCAGATGTAATTTCTTTCTTTAATTTTAGATTTTGTAACATAAAGCTAAATACGAACAATACTAGGAAGCAGCCTGTGCATCAGTTTGTACAAAGACAACTTTTGCCTCCATTCACAGCATTATATAACACAGGTAAAATTTTCCTTTTTGAGTTTCATAAAACTTGATTAAACTGTACTAAGACCGACTTCTTCAACATAGGAGAATAAGTTGTGTGGCAGCTAGGTAGCACGGTGGATAGAGCACGGGCCCTGGAGTCAGGACCACCTGAGTTCAAATCCAGCCTCAGACACATAGCACTCACTAACTGTGTAACTCTGGGCAAGTCACTTAACCCCAATTGCCTCACCAAAAAAAAAAAAAGAAAAAAAAAGAGAGAATAAGTTGTATTTTTTTTTTAATTTAGAGATACATAAAAAGTGCATTACTTTGTGGGATTATAGTTTAGAGTTGTAAAGAGACTTGAGAGACAACCCCTCCTCCCCCATTTCACAGATTTTTTTTTTAGCATTTTCTTCATTGGGCAATTAGCCTATAATAAGATAATTTGTTGTATGCTCTAATAGCTGACATTTTTCTTTATATATGTTTTCTCTTGGTACTTTCTGCTACCTTTAATACTTCATTAGTTGTATATTCCAGATGACAACTTGTTAGAAGGCAACAGAACTATGAGTTTTTTTTTTGTGTGTGTGTGTGTGTGTGTGTGTGTGTGTGTAAAAATTAGGGAATAGGCATTTATTAAGCTAGGCATTGTGCTAAGTGCTTTTTACAGATGTTATCTTGTTTGTTCCTCACAACAACCTTGCAAGGTAGGTGTCATTATTATCCCCATTGTTACAGTTGAGGAAACTGAGGCAAAAAATGTTACATAACTTGCCCAGGGTCACACAATTTGTAAGTGTCTGAGGCTACATTTGAATTCAGTTCTTCCTGTCTGCAGGCCCAGTGCTCTATCTGTTGTGCCACCAACTGTCTCATTAGGGAAAGAAGATTTGGACAGGAAAATGAGTATTTTATTTTCTAGACTATCCTATTTCTTGTAGTCACAGAATATCTTAAACATGAATATAGAATAATACCTCTATTTGACAAAAATTCAGTTAGACATCTTAATTTTGTAGGTCTGGTTCCAGTAGCTTCTTGACTCTTACCATTGGTGAACAAGTTGTACTGTTTGCTGTTTGTTTTCATCATCCATTAAGCTAGTTTGGAGAAGGGTAAGGGAAAATCAGATAAAACACTAACCTCTGAAGGGTGAATGGGGATGCCACTGGACAGATGCTAAAGTCAGAATAAGAATTGGGGTTGGGGAGAGTGTCATGGAATCATGAATTTAGAACAAGGAGATATCTAAGAAGTTATCTAATACAATCCTTTCATTTTACAGATAAGGAAGTGGACTAACTTTGTTTTTGTTTTGGGATTTTTTTGTGAGGCAATTAGGATAGTGTCAAGTGTCTAAGGCAGGATTTGAACTGAGTTACTCCTGACCCCAGGACCAGTACTCTATTCACTGCACCACCTAGCTACCCCTGGAAACCAACAAACTTAAGTGACTTGCCCAGGCACATACACATATCAAGTGTCCAAGGTAGAATTTGAACACAAGTTTTCTTGACTCCTAGTTCAGTGCTCTGTCTATTACACAACATATCCAAAGTGATGAGCTAGGTTTTAGGTATTTTGAGGTGCTGATAGGACATCCAGGTGTGTCTGGACAGGAAAAAGTTTGAGACTGAGATCTGGAGCTCAGAGGGAGGTCAGGATTAAAGATAAGTATTTGGGAGTTATCTTCATAGAAGTGGTATTAAAGTCATAGGAGTAAATAAGGTTGTCAGTGAGAGAGTAAATAAAGAAAAGAGGACCAAGAATAGACTTTTTAGAAACACCTACATTAGGGGGTCAGGGATAATGTGAGTAACCTTCAAAAATGATGAGAAAGGAATGATTAGTGAGGTAGGAGGAGAACAAGGAACATTTAGTATCTCTGAAGTTGATAGAGGTGAGGGTATGTAGTGAGAGAGGTGGTCAACAATGTGAAAAACTTCAGAGGGTCTGTTAGTATGAGAATTGAAAATATTAAGTGCTTAGAAGTCAAAAAGTATAATGAGAGATTTGAGAAGAAAAGAACCACTTCAAGTTTGGGGGGAGGGGGGAGGAAGGGAGTGTCAAAAAAAAGTTCACACCTAAGCTGAGCCTTGAAAGAAGGGGTTAATGCTAATAGACACATAAGGAAGTCTGTTTCAGGCACAGAGGCAGGTCAGAGGGATGCACAAAGGATTGCAATTGGCAGGAGTCAGGACACAATCATTGCACAATTATAGTTCATCTGAAGCATAGACTACTGTGAAATAAGGCTGACTGGAGGCATATTTTTGTGGACTTTGCAAGCTAGCTTAAGGAATTCCTATTTTATTTGGTAGGCTGTGGAGAGGGAAAAGTTGAAGTGGATTTTGGGAAGGAGATCCAGGAATTATTGGAGGAGTAAGGTATTGGAGAGGATAGAAGAATATGAGACTGAAGATACAAGAAAAGGGGTTAACTTTAACAAAAAGCAAAGCTACCTATTTCCTTGAGACAAGAGGGAAGGAGGAAAGAGGATGTAGTAATATAAAAAAATGTAGGATAGAAGCAGGCAATTTACCTCTAATGGTCTCAGTCTTCTCAGTAAAGTAGTATATAAAATAATTTGCTAAAAATGAGGTGGGAAGAGGTGGCATTTGGGTATTTGAGGAGAGAAAAATGGTTTGGAAGAGCTTCTGTAAAGAGTGTGATTGATAGAGAATCCATAAGAGCTGGGTAAAAGAATTGCCCTGTAAAAGAAGGGCCCAGTTGAGATTAGGTAGTATTATTTTGCATTGAACCCACTTAATATGATTGATGAAGAAAAGTAAGACCTTTCTCTGTTTCAGCTGTTGTCTTTATCCTCTATCTTGTATTCATGTAGATGAGCCATCTTCCAGTTCCCTTCCCAGTGGGACTGATTTCCTCAAATACCCCTTCAATACAGAATTAAAACAAATAGTAAATAATAACAGATACCTCCTCCCCACTTTCCCACTCCCCTCATTCCCTCACATCCATTCCTTCCTCTTCTCCTCTCAAATAAGGAGAAAGGGTCAAGATACCACAAGCTGACAAATTGAGAGTATTTTCAGAATGGTGAATATAGAGCGTTTCCATGGCAACCATATCTCTTGCCAAATAGTCTTCGTTTTAAGCTTAAAATAAAGTGTGTCGTTACCTTGTTATCTCACCATCTCCCTAAGATATAACACTTGTTCATATATTTGAGTAGTTTTGCTTGTGCTAGGATAGTTTTGATTTTATTTTTTTTCAAAAGAATTGTTGTCATGATGGGTACCTGGAGCAACAATTTAATACTATAAATTCTTGATTCATCATTTCATCCTATTAGTTGTCATAATTGCAAGATAGGAAAGGAAGATTGCAGGTTTTTCTTTATGACCAGAAGTAAATCCATTTTCAACCTAATCTGGGAACTGGAAGAAACAGTAAAAGATAGAAATCATCCTGATTCTCTGAAACCAAGAGTCCAGAAAGCAATTTGCATTCTCACTTATAAATCTTCTTAGTATTAAACTGCTAATGTTAATATATCTTCTTTAAAGGAAGTACGCTGGTTTAGACAGAACAGAGTGAAGCATTTTGCTTCAGAATCAGATTTATAGAGAGGATATTTGAGTGGAGTGAGACAGGATGCCAGAATATTGTGTTAAAGCCACTCTACAAAATGACCAAGGATTCTTTAATAACAGGGTTATTCAGAGTCTGTTGGATAACTATAGTCTACCTTTGAGAATATTAGAGTTCTTAAAGGAAAATTTGAAAAACATTGAGCTTTCTAGTGACTTTTTTTTCCAGAATAACATACTTTTCTTTCTTCAATCTTTCAGTGCGATGCATGTTTATTCAAACACAGGATACCCCCAACCCGAACAGTTTGAAGTTTATTCCAGGAAAACCAGTGTTGGTATCACGGACCATGGATTTTCCTACACCAGCTACAGCATTCCGCTCCCCTCTGGCTAGGTATTTTAAAATGTTTCATATATTTCCCCAAGTAATATGAGTGGCTGATGAACCATTGTTAAGATAGCATCTTTCATGTGATCTAGGTTTTCTTATTATAAAGTAGATGTGTTTCCTCTTTAAAAACTTTTATACTTTGGGGGTGAAGATAAAAGAAAAATAACAAGGGTTAATATTATAAGACATTTCTTCCAAAAGTAACTATTTTAAGTAACTATACTACTCCCTTTTTATTGCTGTTATCTACTAGCCTCCATCCAACTTCCTAAATTCCTCTATGACTTTAGCACATTCTTTCTCATTTATCATCATTTATCATCTTCCATCTTCATGGACTTTAGTATTTTTTAATAGAATGTATTTCTACATCAACAATGAGGACTGGACTGAGTTTAAAGGAAAAAAATCAGAAGTAAAGGAAAACACAGTCTGTGATATGGAGTCCTATACAAAGAGAGTAAAAATGTTCTCCATAATAGGGAGGTGTGGGCGGTGGGGATGGGAAGATACACACACACACACACACACACACGCACACACGCACACACGCACGCACGCACGCACGCACGCTCTCTCTCTCTCTCTGGTATCTGGGGTCAGGGCTCTTGGTTGGTCATTCAGTCAAGCATTTACTAAATGCTTGCTACGTGCTTCTAGGCAATGTACTTAGGATACAAAGGATTCACTGGAGATACAAAGAAAGGCAGAAAAAAAAAACAGTCCCTGCCCTCTGGGAACTTTTGTTCTGATGGGAGAAACACCATACAAATAACTGCAACAAAATATATACAGTGCAAATGGAAGGTAATCTCCAAGGAAAGGCATTAGCAGTTGGGTGAGGTGTTGGGGGGAGTCCGGGAAAAGGAAAGACTTTCAGAAAAGACCTCCTGCAGAAGGTGGGATCTGAGCTGAGTCTTGAAAGAAAGCTAGGGAAGCCAAGAAGCAGAAGGTGAGGCAAGAGCATTCCCAGCATGAGCAAAAAGGAAGGAAGTGAAGAGATGGTATGTGTGAGGATCAAAAGCCTTGGGATGGGGAGGGTTAGGGGTAGTGGAGTATGCTAACCATTAAGAGGTCTGTAGAGAGAGGCTGATGATTAGATTGCTTAGAGTCCTTCCTTGAGGTCTAACCTCGTGGCAGCTAGGTGACCCAGTGATTAGAATGCTGGGCCTGGAGTCAGGAACACCTGAGTTCAAATCCGCCTCAAATTCTTGATACTTACTAGCTTACCCTGGACAAGTCACTTAACCCTGATTGCCTCACCAAAAAGAAAAAGAAAAAAAAAAAGGAATAGGAACTCTTGTCTTTGGAAAATCTTTGTTTCTCACCTATTGCTTACCACACTGCTTAGCACTTAATAGATGTTTAAGAAATGTTCATTAAAGTTTAAGAAGCTCTACAACTTGAATAAGAATAAAGCTTCTAATAGTTTTTAATATTTTATTTTTTCTTCAATTACATGTAAAAATAATTTTTAACATTCGTTGTTAAGTTTTGAGCTCCAAATTCTATCCCTCTCCCTCCCTAAGATGGCAAGCATTCTGATCAGGTTATATGTATATAATCGTGCAAAGCATTTCCATATTAGTCATTTTGTGGGAAAAACTCAAAACAAAAAAGAAAGGAAAGGAGAAAGAAAATGAAAAATCGTATGCTTTGGTCTGTATTCAGACACCATCAGTTCTTTCTCTGTAGGCAGATAGCATTTTTTATCACGAGACCTTTGGAATTTTCTTGGATCATTGTATTGCTGAGAATAGCTAAGTCATTCGTAGGTTTTCATCATACAGTATAGCTCCTAGTGTGTATACAGTGTTCCCCTGGTTCTGCTCACTTCGCTCTGTATCAGTTCATGTAAGTCTTTCCAAGTTTTTCTGAAATCATTCTGCTCATCATTTCTTATGGCACAATAATATTCTATAACAATCATATACCACAACTTGTTCAGCTATTCCCCAGTTGATGAGCATTCCCTGTATTCCCCATTCTTAGCTGTTGCAAGGAGAACTGCTGCAAATTTCTAATATGTTTTTTAAGAAAAAAAATGTAAATTGGTACATTACTGTGTTAAGTGTGGTAAAAATCTTTCTCATGTTTTTGTTGTTTAAAAGCAATTGAAACTATTCTCCCTATATTTAAAGACAGCAGAATTTCTAGACATTTCAAGACCAAGTTGTGAACCCATTCCAACTAGAACCAACCCAGAAATAAAAAGCGTATATGATACCAGTTCTATTACTGACATCAGAAATAGCCTAGCTTTCAGAAGCTGGTGAGGGAAAGTAATTTAGATGCTAGTTGGACAGAAGAGCCATTGTGTAAGTGTGAAATATGTCACATCATGAAACTGTGAAAGGGGGAATGTTGAATTAAATCTCTTCTTGCTTGGTTTTCAGAGAAAGTATGCTAAGAGATTTTTGATTCAGACACCATCAAAATAGACTTTTAGGAATCTATAACTGCTGCTAAGTGCTGAACATAATTAGGTAACACCCATCCTCTTAATCTTTCTATCTCTGTCCACTGTACGCATGATTCTAGGCACCCAGAACAGGTGTAGGTACAGGTGTAATTTTTAAAAATTTCTAATTAATCCAAATTCACATTTTAGTTAACATGATGTCTGCCAAATCTCCAGGTGGCAAAAAACCTTTCTAAGTTTAGTCTTTTAAAAGCAGTGTCATTTCCTGAGTTCAAAGAATTCAATTATCAGCTTCTTTGCCCTTAAGAATTCTTCACTTAATAGTAAGGTCAAGACTGAGAATAAGTCATCATGCCAAACTAATCTCATTTCCAGGTTGCTAGAGTGTTAGATCATAAGGGGATGCCACAGATACAGTGTAACCTGATTTTAGCAAGATACTTGCAGGGGTTCTTGCAATATAGCTTTGTGAACAAGATAAAGGAATGTGAACTGAATAATAGCAGTTAAGTTTGAGTTGGGATCATATGGGAATATTGGTTAACCAATTACTGTTAAGGGGCAGCAAAGTGGCGTAGAGAACTGGGCTTAGAGTCAAAAAGACTCATCTTGCTGAGTTCAAATCCAGCCTCAGATATTTACTAGCTATTTGACCCTGGACAAGTCACTTAATCCTATTTGCCTCAATTCCTCTCTGTAAAATGAGCTGAGAAGGAAATAGAAAGTACTCTAGTATCTTTGCCAAATGGGGTCATGAAGAGTCAGACACGACTGAACATCAAAAAATCACTGTTCACCTGGAATAAGGAAGCAATGGCATGTCACAGGGCTCTGTCCTGATGCCACTTATTTGTACCCTTTTTTTAAATGACTTGGATAAAAATAAACATAGAAAATTTGCAGATAGTGCAAAACTGGAAGGGATAACGAGTATGCTGGATTGAGCTGATGACAATCAGAATTCAAAAAGGTCTTGACTAGCCAAAAAAATGAACTGAAACGAACAAGATTATATTTAATGAGGGTAAATGTAAAGTCTTCATTTAGACCTAAAAAAGTTTGTTGCACATGTTCAGGATCCTTGAGACTTGGTTCATGTGAGAAAAACCTTGGGAATTTAATCGACAGTGAGCTTAAATACAAACCCAAAGTGTAGCCAGACTTCTAAAAAAGATAGTAATTCTTAGATTGTGTCAATAAAGAAATGATGTTTAGATTATGGGAAATAGTATTCTCAATGTAGTCTGATAAAACCATGATCTGGTAATGTTACATTCTAGGTTCCTCATGTTAGTAAGAACACTGACAAAATGGAGTTTATCTACAGCAAGATTTCTGGGGTGGTAGAGAATGGAAACCCCTTTTGATGAGCAGTGGTTGGAAGAACTGAGGATAGGTGCCATGTATTAAAGAAGATATGGGGTGGGGGTCAAAGGCTTCTTCTGGGTTCTTCCAGGACCTTGCACAAAAGTCATTCCCACTGTCTCAATAATTTTCAGTCTCCCCCCCTCACTACTGGCTCCTTTCCCTCTACCTACAAATATACTTATGTCTTTCTGAGCCAATTACTGCCCCATCTTTCTTTTCCCATTATTAAATTTCTTTTAAAATTTGTAAAAACCTATACCTCTACTTTCTCATTGTCTACTCTTTCCTTAAACCCTTTCTCTCAGACTTCTTCCCACACTTCTCTACTGAAATTGCTCCCAAAGATCAGCAGTCTCTAGACCCAGAAGCCTTTTTCCAGTCCTTAGCATCAGCTTCTCAGTAGCTTTTGACACTGTTGACTACCTCCTTATAATGAATGTTCTTTTTTTAGTTTCAGATGTATTACATTCTCCTAGTTGTTCTTCTAGTTTTCTAATTGTAACTTCCCTGAATCCTGTGATTCAGTTTCTCCTAACAAATTAATATAAGCATTCCAGAAAAGTCTGTCTTTAATCCTCTTCTCTCTCTACACACCCTTTCTTGTCAGGCTTATTCACTCCCACTGCTTCAACTACTACCTCTGTGGAGATAATTCTTAATTCTATATATCTGCTGTTGACTTGTCTCCTGAGCTCCAACCTCGCAACTCCAACTGACTTCAGGCAGTTTTTATTTGGGTATACCACTAATGCTTCTAACTTATTAACATGTCCAAAACCTAGTTCCTTATCTTTTCCTCTTCTGATTTCATTATTTTTGTCCTTGTCAATACTATTCACTCAGTCTGTCATATTGGTCACTTTTAGATTATCTTTGACTAGGTCTTTTCTCTCACCTCTCATTCAGTCAGGTATGAGACCCTGTCAATTCTGTCTATGAAACATCTCTTAAATATATCACTGACATTTCCTATTGCCATCAACCTGGTTTGGCCCTTGTTACTCACCTGTGCTATTGTAACAGAGTCCTTTCTGGTCTTACCACTTTCAGTCTCTCCTACCTCCAGTCCTTCTACCATTCAGTACTATCGTAAGCCATCATTGCTTCTCTGGCTTCACTTTCCTTCCCAGTCTTGATATATGTTAACTAGTTCAACTTTATACAGTTTTCTACTTTACCTAATCATAATCTCTTTTCATTTTACCAGTACCTC